CATCTTACACGACATGATTCAACCAGGATCTGCTACAGTGTTTTTCTTTCTCTTTTTCTTTGTACAGTGTTTGTGGGTGGGTTCAGGGGTAAAATTTTTTGTGCGTGCAACAAATGGGTGGGACTTGAGTTTTGTATTGACATCACACCGACACAGCTAAAGATTTGTTACCAAGATGATTCATTTAAACCACTTTGAGTCAACTCTTTTATACATGAATCAACAGTTTTAAACACTGTGCACTTTTAGATTTAAGCCTTAGCTTGATGTTTCACTTCACTTAGAGCTTTGTTACACACTGTATGGTGTGTGCCTAATTACCCTAACCTGCCTAGTTAATGTAATTTATCCTGGTTAAGCCTTTAACAGATGCCCTTCCAGCTGCAACTCATCACTGGGAAACATCCTTACACTCTCATTCACACTCAGGCCAATTTAGCTAACTTAATTCACCAATACCACATCTCTTTGGACTGTGGGGCAAACCAGAGCACCCGGAAGAAACCCTTGAAAAAGTTGTTAGTATATTTTTAATGAAGAAATGAATGAACAAATGAACGAATATTATATTATTAGAATAAAAATAAAAGCATATTAACTGCATAATTATTATAATTTACGAGAAATTAGGGGAGTTGCTTAGTCTCTGCTTTGGTTATTCATCTGCCCTGCACTTAAATCTCTATTGGGTTTGATTGTGTGTCTGACTTCCCTTCTCTCTATCTCTCTTCCTTTTCCCTCTCTCTCACTCTCTCTTCCTGCTGGAACAAGCAGATGTAATCTGAGTGAGTGAGTAGTTGGTGAGCGTGTTAATAGTGTTAGGCTGTAGGCAGGGTGCCGTTCTGGTCCAGCTCGGCTGCACATGCATTTGATGGATCACTCTGCTGTCAGATCAATTTTAGAAATGCATTGGAACTAGAGAGACAAAGAGAGAAAGAGCAAGCGAGACAGGGGAGGGATAGAGAGAGATGGACAGAGGCGGAGTTAAGCGATATAAAAGGGAGGACACATGAAGGCACTGGGAATGAGAGATACTGTAAAAAGACAATACCACCATAAGAAGGTGGCAGAAACAACGCAAGAAACAATGATTATAATGGTATTGCTTAAAAAAAAGCGTAGGAGACTGAAAGGTTTAAAAAAATGGCAAGTGAAAAAACTCTGATATTTTCCTCTCCACCGGCCTCGATATTTATAGAAGATGAGGACTTGAGGCTACAGAAAAAAAAGGAACGATCTTTTTCACCCGTGTGTTGAAAACTGGTGGAAACTGACTATTAACTACACTCCTCCGCACTGACTAAAACCCACTTTCTTCGAATTGGCACGCCACAAACATGTAGGAAATGTGCACATGCTTGCTCTTCACAACAATAGGAGCACTGAAGGGGTCGTGAATAGCAGCATGTACCAGAAATGGCTATTGCCCAGGCTCAGGTTCAGATGTTTTTTCGAGCAGAACGGCTTGAAAAGGAAGCTGCAGAAGGGGTTGAGGGTTGTACTGTGAATCAGATCAAACTGAAATCCTTATCATATTTGCTGTGATTAGCAAAATGCCAACACTGTGACGTAATCAATTAAATATTGGATATACAGATGTGCATGAGTGAAGCACAGCACTTGTTCTGTTACAGATGAGAACCTCATGATCAACTTAATCCTCAAGCTTAAACCTCATCACATAATTACTAATAACAAGGCCCACTCGGTATCTGCGTGTGCAGAATTCCACAGGATTTTAGCCCATCATTGATTCTTTTTATTTACTTGAGCAACGTGTCTAAATTTATATTTATTCAGTTTTTAAATTAATTTCAGTATAATTATTGACCAATATGAAAATAATCACATGATTTATTTACAATACAGTTTGTGAAGTAATATTTTGTATTTTTGTATATATTACATCAAAGACTTGCTTTGCTTTGTGAGAGACTTGCCAAATAAAGTGGATCTAATTGGATTTGCATTGTAAACATTAAATAAAAGTTAAAAGGGTAACATTTTTTTTATTTCACATATTAAGTTTTTTAGTTATGATACTTCCAAACTCATTCCACAGAAATCAGCAGATTTTTTACAAAATTCTCTGCAGAAATATCAAAAAAATGTTGACAGATTCATCACTTTAGACAGTACGCTAGAGAATCATTCAAATACTAGCTCTAAAGTGACACTGGTGAAATAGCAATGGTTGCTGCTGTTCTGATGTCAGCTACAGATGTGAAGGAATGGCAGAAGATAGTAGTTCTTATTGCAAAAGGGTTTTTAGTTATCCCGTGTTTGATTTTCTTTTTTATATACACGATTATCCCGTCAAACTGTTGTATAAATGCGATATTACACTTGTAGCAGTGCGATGTGGCTGTTTAAACTGGTGGTACATACAATGCATTACTCCCACCAGTGCCGATATACAGCCACATTGCACTGGTCTGTTGAACATCACTCAAAATATTTAAAAAATATAATTAAAAAAAATCCACAGCTCAGATGCAAAAAGCTCTAAATGCCATCTAAAATGTTCTTTTAAATTAAGCATTTTTACCAGGCTCTTGTGTGTAGGTTGAAAATTTCTAGACACTTTTATGGCAAAAATAAGTTATTTTCATAATCTTTCAATTGAAATAACTCAACATAAATCATAGAAGAAAAAAAAAAGCTGACCTTTCATGTAAATGTCAGATTTTTGCATCTAAACTCAGTTATTTTGTGTTCAACTGTACTGTTTATATAATTTAGCCCTCATTTCGCCATTAAGAAACATTTTGGTTTGTAGACCAGTTTAGGAAAACAGTTAAACTATGTAAACAAGCTAAAGGTATATATCTGGGGCTGGACGCTAGTGGAAATGATGTATATACTAAATTACTCCACCCAACCTTCACTTTAATGTAAAAATGGAAATTATAGCATGAATTATTCAAAATATGTATTAAATTATCCATTGAATTGTATTTTAATAATATCTACCTCTACCCCAACCCTCACAGTAAGCTAAAGCCTTGTTGCTATAAGGGATACAGCTGGGGCTGGAAGATAATGAGAATCATTTATACACTAAATTACTCAACCCAACCTTCTCATTAATGTAAAAACAGTAATTATACCAATAATTATCCATAATATGTATTAAAGTATCTATTGAATTTTATATTAATAATGTCTACCCCTACCCCAACCCCAACCCTTACAGTAATGCAAAAACAGTGATTATTGTTGTACGGTAAATGTATTGCTGTAAAAATATAAATAATTCCCATTAACTTCTGAACAAAGAAATCTCCCTTCTAGACTTTACCAAGCTAAAGGTTTGATTAAGCAGTTCTTTTTTTCTCTTGAAATGTGTATACTAGTGCAACCAAATTGCATCTATCCAAGTTTGAAGTTTGTTGGATCAAACAATGGATTCCAATCCCCAAAATTCACTATCCCGGTTGAGCCAAAATAGCTTGCTTGAACATACTCAAACAATGTTTTGAAAGAGTCCACATTGTTTGTATTCCTCTGGATGTCGACCTACGAACGGTAGTAGTCTCTGTACCGCTGAGATAGGAGAACACATTTTAACATCGAGAAATTACCTCCACAGACCAGAGTACTAGAAAATAAAAAGTCCTTTGTGAGTGGAAAAATAGGTTCTTTTTTTTTGGCATGAGGCCTTTTTTTTTTTTTTTTTTTTGCTTTAATTGGAACATTTGCTTTTAAGAGAGAATGTTGTGGATGAGTTTTGAGAGTTTTTGAAGAGTTTTTAGAGGGAGTTTGTAAAGACTTTTGTGGAGCTGGAGAATCAGCTAAAAGAAGTTGTGGGGTTACAGAGAGGTAGGGTAGTTTTCAGAGAGGATATACTTGAGGTCTTTAGTTGAGCCAATGCATGCTGGGAGACTGCAAATTAAATAGCTAAAGCAAGATGGGACTGACACATGCTGCTTGTGGAAGAAGGGACATTTTGCGACATCCCATACACTGTAAAAATGCAGGGTTCCACACAATTCTTTCATGTTGTCCCAACACAAATTGATTAAGTTAACTTAACACTTTTAACAAACGTATGTGGATTGAACATAAAAAAATTAAGTTGCCCCAATGAAATCTCAAGAATTGTGTTGTTTCAGCTCAGCTTAAATACTGTAAGTAGTTTGAACAACAAAAAAAAATTTTTTTTTGAATACACATTTCCCTGTTCAGAACTTCCCTGTATATCTGCCCATATGTGTGTTTGTGTGCGCACATCTTTTTCAAATATAATATATAAGTGATATTTAGCAGAGCAAGGATAAATTCACACATGCAAAGATTCATGTTTGCTGTTTGTTCGAACTACTTCTTTAAAGTTTCCTGAAAAACTGAAAACTGCAGTGATAACTTTTTTGGTTAGTGGCTAATTCATATGAATTTGTCCGATTTCATTCGTACGATTTGCTTATCTCTCAATGATGGTTGGGTTTAATGGTGGGGTTCATCCCCCTGTGGTGACCCCTGATTAATTTTTGGACAAAGCTGAAATAAAATAAATAAATAAATGAATAACTAATTAATTATTTTTTTATTTATTTACTTAATTCGGCTTTGTCTCTTAATTCATCAGGGGTCGCCAAGGCAGAATGAATCGCCAACTTATACAGTATATTTTTTACGCAGCGGATGCCCTTCCAGCTGCAACCCAGTACTGGGAAACATCCATACACAATTATTCACACAAATACACTGAGGCCAATTTACAAAGGCCAATTTAGTTCATTAATTCACCTACAGTATACCGCATGTCTTTCTATCTGACATTTTTGTCAAACTTGAGTTATTGATATATTCTAATTAAATGACACATTATTTTCATTGTGGGATGTTTTTTTTATAAGTCGTTTACAGTTTAAGACTTTGTATGTAAAAAAAAAAAAAAAAAACATATACGCACATATTGTTTGCTATATGGAATGCAAAAACTTTGAATATCTTAAAATCCTTCAGAACGCAGACAGAACCTTTTAATTCTAAGGTGATGTTCTTCTAATGCTCTTACTTTTCACATTTCTATACTAGTAACCTAGATTCCCATTAGTATTTCACTGTCAATTAGTCCAACCATGCTTAATTAATAATGCATGAAAAAGCATTGACACGATTCTGTTCCACAAACAGAGATCAAAGAAAAGGTCAATGAAACAGTGCATTTAGTCAACATTTAAAGTGTATTTGTTGAAAACTCATTGGAAAGTTGTTGCTGCTATATCTTCTTTGTCTTCTTCCCCTCAAGCCACCACCACATTTGCATTAAACAAGAAAGACTTGTGAAAACGAAGCAATTTGGAACTAATTTAGTCTCTTTCTGTTCTTTCTCTTTAGATGACTCAGGAGCAGTACATCCTGGCATCTCAGCCGAACCCCCTCCAAAGGCCGGGATGTGCTACTGTGTACCCCGTGGGGATTTATGGCTGGCGAAAGCGCTGTCTGTATTTCTTCATCCTCCTCCTCCTCGTCACAATGATTGTCAATTTAGCGTTGACCATCTGGATTCTAAAAGTCATGAACTTCACTGTGGTAAGCACTTCTCTGTCTCCTGTTGTTTTCCTCTGTTTATTGTCTATATTTCATGTATTATATCATGCACATTAATGTAAGCATCACTTATACTTACAGTCCCAGACCAATCACATAAGGAAATGTAACTAGTTTACATACTGTTGGAAAGGTAATTTGTACAAATTCATGCTGTACAATTTAATTTGTATGAAAATGTATAAATTTAAAAGAAGGCATGCACTCAAACCCTACCCATAACCTAACCCTACCAGGAAGAAAACTAGCCATGCAAATGATCTAATATTCGAAAAAATTAGCCACTCAATTAAGAAAAAAAATGTTTCGATATTTGTTTTTGAAGACCCATAAAGTGCATTGTTACAGTTTACAAATTTTGTTATCAGAAGAGTAAGGGCTCACTCACCCCTTTGCACCTTTGCTATTTACAATGCGAGGTGCAATGCTTGGTTTGAAAATTGTTTGAAATAAAAAGCTCAACATAAAGCTTTATACATAAAGCATAAAGGTTATCTAGATACAGTCATTAACTATTAAAACCCTATTTTATTAAAAACCTATTTTTGTGCACATTTTGCATATGCGCATAAAAAATAAATGGTTGATGGAAACGTCATGATGTGCATACATTTTGAAAATGCGCATAAAAAAACTTATGCGCATAACTGAGTAGGATAAACTTTTTATTCGTTAAGGAAAGATGCGCATAAACTACTATGGAAACACTTTTAAACATTTAAAAGTTTTAAAACATCTGAAATGTTGTTTTGGTCATTATAAAATGCCTTACCGTTTCAGTATTAGTGTTATTATATTATTAACCTTCAGAATCAAGAGCGTCTGTGCTCCGCGTCTGACACTTTCAAATGCCACCGCGCGTTCACTGTATTCCAGGATTGCTTTCTGAGGCGCAAATCATTTGTTAGATGAAGAACAGATTGATGCAGCTTCTCCTCTAGCTGGAAATTCCATTTTTACTGTTGATATTTGGCGCCAGTTAATCAGGAAGTGACGATTTTGTTTGCTTTGACCCGTTAGATGAAAATTCTGCTTTATTCGCACGTCTGTAATGCGATTATCCAGTTTTGTGCATAAAGTTTATTCGCATTTTTGGATGGGAACATAGCTAATGAGTGCTTGTAAAAAAAGAAACTTGCAATGTTTGTCCTGACTCCAAGTTCTTCTGATTGGTCCACTACTATGGAACTGGCAGTAATGAGCTGCACTGCATGTGAAAGATGAAGGGGTTTTATTTTGACAAAAGATGCGAAAGTCGAGTGTATGGTCACACACACCCATTAAGCATGTTTTTACATTGAGAAACAATAACAAAGTAGCACATTGCAATGGAAAAACATGTTTTGCGTAGAGCTGCAGGATATTGAAAAATTCTCAAATATTTGTTGTGGTCTGCTATTTGCAGTGCGTTTCTGTATTTGCATGCGTTGTGAGTATTTTCATGCACAACAGTCTATAAATACAATCAAGAAAAAGACACAATTAAAATAAAGTGTTTTGTCATTTGAGTCTAACATTATTCAAGTACTGTAACTGAATAATACACATAATTCAATAAAATTAATCGTAGTTAAGGTCACAAATGGTACAATTTCTTATACATGAATGTTTTTTGTTTTAAATCATTATACAATCACAGGCATCAAAAACACATGCAAATGATAAGTTATAATACAAACTTAACATTGCATTTCCTGCAATGTGTCCATTATGAATGATCACATTACCATATCGTTGTTAAAACGATATATTTCACAGCCCTTGTTCTGTGTAAACCACTCAAGCATTTTTTATTTTTTTTTTAAACCATGCTTTTTCACAAATGCAGTTGCTATATCTAAACCACACATATGCAGTTGTTAGCATTAAACCAGACCATTTTTCTTAGCTGAGATAGTAGGGAAAATAACAACGAACACATGAAGATGACAAAAAAACAATAGACATCCTTGAGTGCTTGCGTGGGTATTAAAGAATATCAGCAATCAGAAATGTATTGTAATAGTCCATACTTTTTGGAAAGTAAAAGCAGAGACTGGAAGCAAGGATGAATCTTTTTAGTGTGTACATGTTGAGTGCTTATGTGTGCATACCATCAAACTGAGTACACAATGAAAACAATGTAGGATTCTATTCTATCAGCCCAACGATGGAATTCAATGAATGGTCAAAGGTAAAATCTGTGTAAGCCTTTTCTAGCGCTTCTGAAAATAATTGTGCTGTATATCAGGATTTATTAATATTTGTCTCCGGCTCCAAATTTAATCTGATTCCAATTTAAACTACATTACTATTTGTAGGAACATATCACATTGTTTATGAGTCAATTTGGAGTTTTGATTTATATCTGACCCCTACGAAAAAAAAAAATAATAATGATAACAACAATTGTACAGTTGTATACTATATTGCTGAATAATGAGCTATTACTATTTAAAACCCTGCATTGAGGGAACGATTTACTGTTAGCCAAGTCTAGTGAATTGGAAATAACCGATGAAATCATAATTTCTATATGAAAAGTATATCTAAATATAGTTAAATGTTTTAATACTTGGATATATTAATGTGTTGTAACTCTTTGATTAGATTCACTTTTCTGTATGGAATCAGCTGTTCGAAACAAACAGTAAAAAATAAAGATAAATAATTCAAGCTGATCTTTTTAACAAAAGTATTCAGCCTTGGAGCTCACAGCCTCTTAATCTATAATACATTTTTACCATTACGAACCAGTTTCATTGTGGGCTGTATCACTCTATTCAGCATAGACCAGCAAATATTGTGTACATTCGCTTGGCTAATAAACAAACAAACAAAAAAATCTCTGTTTTTCCCTTTCTGTTTGCGTGAAAGGCCTTGCTCAGATGGTCAGGTGTACCAGCTAGCACGCATCAGGTCACAGCACTTTATTTACCCAGCTGATTTGTCCTTGTTTAACAGCATCTGCTGCACATGCTGGCTATACAGAATTACAAACATGGGCTGCCTGGATCAGCGGAGTCGTGAACCTACTCAAAACTGAACACTCTGTGGTTTGTCTGCCGAGACAGCAAAGAGAAATGAAAGGATTTTGTGGACTTTTTTTTACAACTTCTGTATGTTTTTGTGTGTGACATCCACTCTCAGGAATAATGGTATGGGAGCTGTCACTGGGGTTGTACCTTTTCAAAAGGTACACATTTTTACTTGAAGGGTGCATATAAGTACCTCAAAGTATATATTACTACCTAAAAATGTTAAAAGAAACACTTATTTACTTTTTGGTACTAATATGTACCCTTGAGGTATTAATATGGACCTTTTAGGTACAGATTTGCACGTTTTCAAAACATATACCACCCCAGTAACCTCGTGTACCTTTATTTCTTAGAGTGTAGGAAGTGATGATGGAAGAACTGTTAACTACAACAGAACTACAATGCCTTTTTGTGGAGTTTGCATATGTATGAATTTGCTGTTGTATCTCATGACAGCCTCACAAAGCCTCGTTTTGATGTGTGTGTGTGTGCGCGTGTGCGCGTGCATATGTGTGTGTGTATGGTTATAAGTCTGACTGTGTAGCTAATATGGTTCCTGTGTGACTGCCAAAGGGAAAGACTTTTATATCTTCAGACTTTCTATTACCTTGGCTAAACAAACCTTGAGTTGTTTGACCTGTATTGTGCCTCTGGGTCTTTCTCCAACTACAACAGCAGATATCAACAAACTGTTTGGTTCATCACTATGTGGGCCAGCAGAGTTCAACTGAATGACTTCATATTGGCAATTTTACCCACTATTCCTGGTTATCATGACTAAGAATTAGTTGAACCGCATTGTCCACACTAAGAAACATTGTCCGCACTGTGTGCACACATATGCAATATTTTTATTTTTTAAATATCATAGATGCATACATATGCAAAATACATGCATAAGTAAATAGTGTCAAATGATCAGATCACTATGAGATGTTTAAAACATAATAACCTGTCAAAATAAAAGTTTGTTTTTAAATTAAAGAAATTGTGAAGGATTTTAAAATGACTGAAAATAAAGTAGTAAGTACAGTATATATCATATAATAATAATAATAATAATAATAATAATAATAATAATAATAATAATAATAATAATAATAATAATAACAATACATTATTATTATTATTATTATTATTATTATTATTATTATTATTATTATTATTATTAAAATTATTATATACAATATTTATTCAGTTATATTAAAATTTACAAAAGCAATATTTTATTAAAATAATAATAATAATAATAATAATATATTTTTATCTTTTTATCTTTTTTAGCATAAGAAAATAAACAATAACATAAACAGAACAAACTTCAGAAAAAAAACATAACAAAAAAAAAACACAAAGACCATTTCACAATACACAAACAGTCAGACACAACATAATACAATATTATCCAGAAAGTATAAGATAAAAAAAAAATAATAATTATTATATTTTAAATAATAATCTACAGAGAAATGTGTTGGCTCCACAACTAATATAATTATGTATATATAATTTATTATTTCATTGTAGTTTCTTCTTTTTCTTCAGACATTTGATTTTCAAATCAGATTGTGGTCACAATTAGCTAATTTTGATTTACAAAATAGAAGATTTTGGCAATAAATAAATAATAATAAAAATCTTCTGACCAACCTAGCGATGAAAAGCACCTGCATTTACTTAATGCTAAAAAAAAAAAAAATCTTAAACAATAATCTCTGCTTTAGAGAAACCACCCACTCTGAAACATCCATTATTTCCTACCACTCATCACGTGATAATATTACAGGTATAAATATCCTTTTGTCACCATAACAACTCTTTTTTTCATGACTTCTCTGGATGCTGTAGCTCAGTGATTAAACACTAGGGATGATAACAAAAAGGTTACAAGTTCATCTCTATCAAGAAATGATCCATCACTGTGACGTCTTAGCAAGGCACTTAAACCTCAACTTTCCAGGG